GGGCATAACTAAAGCACAGTTCGCGCAACATACTTGGTGGGATGGTCCAAGTTTCCTGCGACAAAAAGAGAGCACATGGCCAACCACAGAGTATAAAATATTTCTGAACGAACCTGCAGAAGAAATTTTGGAAATGAGCACATGCCTAAGCCAATGCAACGAATCTCATCAAATCGAGCTTCTAGATTTGAGGAGATTCAGTTCTTTTGAAAAGGCCAAACGGGTTGCTGCTTATGTTATAATCTTCTTGTGTAAAACCATGCGCAGATTCGATTCCGAACGAAAAAATGAGATTGTAACTAACATACCAGAACTGAAAAATGTATCGACTAACTTGCGAGTTGACGGATATACTATGAAAGCAGCACGTCTAGCTATCATCCGAAATCATCAGATGCTTCTAACTCCATCCATTCGCAAATCAGTAGAAAACTCCTTAAGACTCTACAAAGATGGTACAAAAATCTGGCGCACCCTAGGTCGAATTGGAAAATCATCTCTAGAAGAAGGCACAAAAAACCCAATCTATATAATTCCGAAAACTCCTCTAGCAAAACTCATAATTCGCGAAGCGCATGGAATTTACCATAGAGGAATTGATCATACGATGGCTACAGTGCGAACGCAGTACTGGATTCCAAAATTACGCCAACAGGTTCGCAAAGAAATAACGCACTGTACTGAATGCAAAAGATTTAACGGCTTACCATTTCCATATCCATTTACAACAGACCTTCCCGAAAGAAGAGTGCAAAAAAGCCGTCCCTTCCAACACATAGGGTTAGATTTTTTCGATCTCCCCTTATGCAACGAAAATAGCGAAGAACGAAAAACCTACGGATGCATTTTTACTTGCGCAGTAACACGACTCATGCATCTTGAACTAGTGCGCAGTATGGCAATTGGAGATTTTCTAAATGCTCTAAAACGATTTATTGCAAGAAGAGGCGTACCGTCCTCAATAACATGTGATAATGCGCCCACTTTTCTTCTGAGCGAAAATCTCCTAGATAGCGAAAGCACTTATGTCAATGACCAAATCATGCAAGCGCTATCGCGCCAAGAAATTCAGTGGTATCACATAACACCATATGCCCCCTGGCAAGGAGGCTTTTATGAAAGGTTGATTAAATCAATCAAACATGCGCTGTACAAAGCACTGCGCTGCAATCCAAAGCCTTCCATAGACCAAATGGCTACCTTCCTGGCTGAAATAGAAGCTTGCTTAAATTCACGACCATTGACATATCAGAGTTCTGATCAAGAAAACCTTAGCTCAATACGGCCAATTGACTTCTTGGAAAAAGACATAATTCTTTCATTTCCACAAAATGATCTCTCAGCGCAAAATCAAGATCCAGATTACCTCTTGCCTCAAGAAATTCACTCGTTGGAAACTCGCAGAGAGGCAGAAGAAGCACTGCGTCTTTCAAATAAACGCACAGAACGATTCTGGAATATATGGAGGAAACAATACCTCACTAGCTTGCGCGAAAAGCATAAAAAATGCGTAGGATCAAAACGTGCGAGTCAAAACACCCCAGGACTAGGAGAGGTTGTACTGCTTACAGACCCAGTTTTACCGCGTAATAGCTGGAGATTAGCGCGAATAACCAAATTACTGCCTAGTTCCGATGGACAGATAAGAGAAGCAGAACTTATAACAGCATCTAAACGAAAAATTCACAGACCAGTTAACTTACTAATACCGCTTGAAATCGATGATTCAGAAACTTCCGCACAAGATAAAGAAGAGCGCCAGGATAATCAAGAAACAGCAAAACCTCAGCGCCCACCAACCGACAGATACAATTTGAGGCCAAGACGTCAGGTACGCTACGAGGAAGCCGTCATGACAGCAACTTCTTCATAACAAGCAAAATTACCTAGAGCGCAGTGGTTTTTGTTCCATATCATGATTTTATCGTTGATACAAACTATCTCAGCAATTTCCTCAAAAACAAAAATCTCATGCGCAAAAGATGGAGTTTTTGCAACATTTCCAAAAAACAAGAGTTTTGAAATTTGCGCAGAAGATTATTGTAAAATTCTCAACGGTGCAAACCAGCCACAAATAGTTAAATTTCCTCCCGAAGTTACTTTACATGACTTTCACATAACCATAAAATGGAACGAAAACGGGCGCCTATCAGTCATAGAAACCAATTGCAAAGCGCTTGATTTCTGTGTGAATATCGATTGCTTATTTTGCTCCACACTTCTCTTTAATCCCGAATGTTGGCCTAGAGGAGCAATAGCACTCATGGCAATCTTGATATATGCCCTCACGGCGCTAGTATACCTCATCATAAAAGTCACTGCAACGCTGACAAAACCCCTCAAATTCCTTTTCGTAGGATTTCAATTCCTCATTGCGCTGATTCTCCGAAACCTACTCAAAGGCATATCTTGGGTGGCAAATAAAAAACCCAAAGGTCGTACTACAAGGGCAGCAAAAATTGCAGCTGCGCTAGCCATCATTACCATACTGAGCAAACATGACCGCTTGGTACACTCGTGCCAAGAAATAGATGTTTTAGAATACCACTCCACAACTTGCACCACAACGTCAGGGAAAGAAACATGCAAAATAACCCTATCCGAAATCTTAAAAATAAATGCTTTCAAACAAGAGGCATGTTTGCGCCTAATACGAAATTTCACCTCAGTCGGAAACATAAAAATCAAATGGCGAGGTTTGCGACTCACATGCGAAAAGGAAACCATGTTTTTCACTCGCATAAGCCAAATAAAAATGGTAGACAGCAAAAGATGTGCCCATATGGGCTCATGCATCGGCGATAAATGCGCGTCGATAAACAGTTCAACCTTACTACCAGAGTTGCAACAAGGAAATTCTTATCCAGGCCGCACAGGTTGCTTAGAATCGTGTGGTGGAATTGGTTGCGACTGCTTTTATCCAAGCTCTGGCTGTCTGTTTTATCGCGTATACGCTGTACCAGAAAGTCCTGAGATTTTTGAAGTTTTTCGTTGCGCTCATTGGAAAGAGGGAGTCAAATTGGACGTGATTATTGAGGATTTGAAGCTTAGAGAAAGAAAAGAACAATATACCATAACAGCAATTCCAAACTTTCCTACAAAGCTTTCCTCATTACAGATAACTATGACAATGATGACTATCCCTCCAACCCCACTCATTTTCTATCAATTCATAACTAACGGCATTGATACAGTATGGTGGACAGACCGCATTAAACCAAATTTGTTTTGCGAAACCAAAGAAAAAGCACGGCAATTGAACTGCGCCTATGAAGACGACTGCAGATGTTCTGCAGCAGAGAATAGCGTCAATTGTCAATGTACGCAATCAAAACTGCAAGAAGAATTCGACCGAGTAGAACTAAAATTACCGCTCAAAACACCTTCTTGGGAGCTGACAAAACAAAGAAATCAACTGATAGCGCACATATCTAATATGGTTTCAGCCGAATTCATAATAAACTTTGATAAAACCGTCGAAACCACGATCTTGCAAACTGAAGATGAAAATTGTTCGGTAGAAAACGCTTATCTAAAAGGCTGCTACAATTGCGCGAAAGGTGCGGAAGCAAAAGTCTACTGCAAATCAAGGAAAAACTTGATCGGAGAAATACTATGCGGAAAAAGGGCTTTCGCAGTACCATGCGCATCATCAGCGCCACGATCAACATTACGCTTTCATCTCGACAGTGCAAGGCAAAATATCGATTGTACCCTGAAGTGTGGAAGGAAAACGCATAAGTTCATGATTTCTGGAATTTTGAAATATACCGGTACCTTCCAAGAAAGCCTATTCAATAAACTTCAGGGAAATCACACAATATACAACGAGATTCCGTGGCCAGACTTCAAACATATAACCAATCTTGTTTTGAGCTGGTACAAAACGTTAGCAGTTGCTCTCGTATGCGTGTTAGCTGCTTTACTTTTTACGTATCTCTGCATTCAAACATTAGGAATGCGCATACTTTTGCTAATTTTGAAAATCGCACGGACTATAATATGCTTTCCTGCGCGCATATGTTGTTGGGTTACACGTAAAGTTTATGAAAAACATAAAAACGAAAGTGACTACAAACATAAGAAAGCTTTTTAACCTTTTCAAGGCCGTATGCGCCTGCGCAAAAAAAAAGAGAAAGAAAAAAGAAAAAAAAAGACAAAACAAACAATAACCCTCACTACCTTTTCCAGGCAATGGAATCAGAAGACGTGCAAAGCTTGAAGCAACAACTTCTTGCGCTAAAAAATGCTATCCCGAAACTACCAGCGCCAGCAGATTTACGCGATAACATTTTCAAATACTGTCACGACGTAGATCATACGATGAAAAAAGTAGACGAACTGCAAAGCAGCATCGATGTAGTACGCAATTCCAAGATGAATTTGGAAAAGAAAGAAAACAAACTGCACTACTACGAACTAATGTGCGAGAAACTGCGCATCGAATTCTTACTGCTTCGCACTCAACTGCGCACATTATACGCCGTACCGCAACTTTTGTTCGCAACGAAGACAACAACGCCAGCGATTTGGGAAACATTGATGGAATGGCCTGATGAAAGGAACTTGTCGTAAACCAAAAAGAAGTCGAAATGATGATCGAAGACCAGATAAACTGCCTCGAAAACTTCAAAACAAAGCTGCACCATCTCATCGAAGAGATCTGGCAACAAAATGATCAACAAGAAGCGCAAAAAGAAAAAGAAGAAGAAACAATCCTTCAAGCCATAAAAAACATGGAAAAAATTCTGAAAGATTTGCAAGAAAAGTTCAAAAACAACCAAGAAGAATCAGGAAGTGTTCGAGAGCGCAGAAAATCAACAACCAGTGAGTCATCAAACGAAGACAACGAGATCGCCCGAGCTGATAGCGAAGCCGAAAGGGAGCCGGAGCAACACGAGGAGGGGAGGCCTGCGGATCAAGAACCAGTGAGACAAGACGAACAAAACGAACAACAAAGAGTTGCAGAAGAAGAAGCAATACGAGAAAATGAAGAGTTCATGGAGCCACTTGGTGGAATGGACATGGAAGAGGTCCCAATGGACATCGAAGAGCGCATCGGAAGATTGCAACTGGAGTACGATCGTAATGCTCAAGCCATTCTGGATCTGAATCTGCTAATAGAAGAGTTGGAAAACGAACGGACCTGTCGGCCACGCTCATTCTACAGAGGCGAAGTCAAGAGCATTGAGCGCAATATGCGCTGCGCTTTTTGTGAAGCCATTGGCTCACACTACTCGGATTCTTGTTGGGAAGTAGCAACGGCGCGCGAGAGACGACAACTGCTTGCCGACAAGAAAAAATGCGAATTGTGCCTGGAAATCATCTGCTGTGGAGGAAAGCTGTGTCGGAAATATGGGCAACCATGTTTCCACTGTCACCGCACAGGGCATCATTCAGCTCTATGCAGCCTCCCTGAAGAAAGCCCGATCATCATGCAAAGACTGCAAAGAGCGAGGGATGCGAAGGAGCATCACAGGCGCCGCGCTGAAGAGCTCGAACACGAAATCAACGAACTCAGAAGAGCACTTCCCTAGGCGGCCGGGAATATCGCTGCAACGCTGCGATCCCTCGAGGTTGTTACGTTTTCTATGATTACTGTAACGCCGCGGCAACGCGGAGAACATTATCTCATGACAGATATTTATTTGCAGCTTCAACTTCTCAAAATATATGGTTATCGTGCAACACATCGGATATAAGAAGCCGCGGTCGAGCGCGCAGGGGCAGAATACTTTTCTTTGTTCTTTTCAATCACGTTGATGTTCTCTTGTTTTCATTTTTTATTGCAACTCGTTTTGATCATTTTTGAGGCAAAAAGAAATTCACTTGCGCACGCATTTCTTCTATTCTTGCGCCAAAAAGAATTGTTGTCATTTTCGAATACTCACTTTTTTGCGCCGAAAAACATTTATCAATAATGCGCTTATTCACTTTCATGCAAGAAAAAGGGTTTATGATAATTTCATATTTTTGCGCATATATATATTGTTTCAAAATGTATCAGACTGCGGTTTAATTACCCAAGTTTGAGGAATAAACTCTGCGCCCGATCGTGTTGTTGGTTGCATCTGGTTGGTCATTACCGCGTGGCAGCGAACATATTGCATGTATTGATCTGATGCTTAAGTTTTGCACCTAAGTATATTTTGTTGCAATAAGTCATACCATCTCTATCTTCTAGTTGGATTTCTGGATACTATAATAGATAAACAAGTAAGCTGAGGAGGTGTTGAAACTACCACTAGTCCTGATTTACGCAAAGTTTGGAGTCAAAAAACAAAGAAATCAATATGTCCAAAAAATCGAGAAAAAACATAAGTCTTTCATGTATGCATTTGGTGATTTTTCTGGTAACTGGTGACTTTGCCTAAAATCGAGAAAATGAATTCTTTTGATTTCATCAAAGTAATGCTGACAAGGGAATGGTCAGAAATCGTAGTGGCCAATCCAGACAAGCTGCATACCATTAGATGCAGCATAAAGCGCTGACTCTAAATCTGTCTTCCTTACCTGCTTATCGCTTTCCTGGACGAAGCTATAAGCCATTAAAGAGCATTATTTTGCTTAGAAATTATGCGTGAAATTTGAAATTTAGCCGTACAGAGCCACGTTCGATACAATGCTGGGCCAAAACATGCATCTAGATTACTTAAAATTTTTGAAGCCAAGAGCTGAGCTAGAAGTGCAACAATGTGCTCAATTTCGCTGTTTTTAATGTATGATTTTCTCACAATAAAATTGCCTGTAGCTTCGTCCACAGAAGCGGGAAGCAGATAAGGAAGACAGATTCGAAGTCAGCGTTTCATATTGCATCGAATGATATACAGCTTTTTTGGTTTGGCCACTTTTCTGACCATTCCCTTGTAAGTTAACTACACTAGTGATAAAACACTAAAGTCATCAATAATACAACCTAAAATCTTAGCTCTCTGCAAAGGCTAGTTTTTGGGAAATTTTCAATTTGGCGGAAAAAAATTTCGGTACGAAAAGTTAAAGCTAACATTTCTTCAAGACTAGCGCTTATAAACATTCGGTTGTACCTCTAAAAGCTTGTAGTATACAAGCAGTGTGGAAACAGAAAAATTACTCTTTATGGAAGAATTTCAAAATTATACAAGCGCAAGTGGGAGAAGATTCGTTGAGGCTCCCGATACTTTCTCGATGTACTTTCTCGATTTTTTGGCTTTTCGTTTTTGATTCCAAACTTTGCCTAATCAAACTTTTCAACTGTTCGAACACTTCCTTGTAGAGTTAACCTTGCTAAAAATAGAATTGCACCCGAAGCCCATGCAGAAACAAGAAATATGACTTATTGCAGTATATACACGCTGCTTGGATGAAGGCGCAATATCTCTAAACGCGAAAGCGGATTTATTAGCCGCAGAGCGCATGAGGCGCAGGATTTATAACAGAGGATACACCCGCGCCGCCTTCGCGACCGCTCAACTAATACTGTTTCTTCGCCCATGCAGTATCCTTTACGTATACATCTGGAAGCAAGATAAGTATCTCTAAATTTTCTGCTCTGCGGAGAAGTGCGCATGCCGTCACACTTACGGTCACCAGGTCCCATTGCATCTCTGCGTCTTAGCTTCGGCGGAAATTGTTTTACTGTCCAAATTCAAGTATGAATCTGTGGAAGAAGCTTGATCTCGTTGTCTAACGTGTATTTTAAGTCCGTCAAGTGATAAGTAAGCCAAACCCGGATAAGCGAAAAAGAGAAAGTCGGGTACCTTTTGTACACGCCTTCAACCGCTGCTGTTTTACTAGCGATGGACGCAACTTTTTCACAAGGAGACAGACGAAAGGTGCAATTTTCCGATAGTCACTGAGAAAAGTGGAAAAAAGTTAAAACTAAAGTGTCACTTTGGATCTTATAATCTACTTGTTCTTCTGGTATACTATCAATATATTGACAAATTCTGGAATTATGCTTTTGTGGAGTGAGAACCTACTGGTAACACTCACTGCTGAAGTGCGCCTTTCCATATACATCCATTGTGAGGCGCTGAAAGGTAGTGGTGAGCTAACATTATGCGAACTCGTAGAATACCTATTCACTTTTTAACTTGTCGAAGAAATTATTTTTCAGTCAGGGAAGTAAGAAGTACGTACTGACATACATTACTTTAGATTACGCAATACGAGATTAGCATAAATGTGATGCCTTGAAAAATGCTATCAAAATTGTCAAACGGTATGACTGTCATGATACGTCAAAAAAAGTAAAATTTGCTTAATTTTAGCAGCAGAAAATATGAAATGATCAAAGAAGAACCACTCTCTCTTAAGTGTTTCATCAAGTTTACCTAATGAAATAACACAGCGTGAGCTAGATTGTTGCGAGACGAATCTCTGTTTAGCCATTGAACTTGCTGAATATGATCAGAGTTGGCGATTACGTGAATTCTATTACAGACGTCAAGCTTTATTGCTTGAGTACGGCACTTCGGGAGACCCTGGCCCACAACTAATTCTGTTGCATCTGATTTGAAAATACCCTAACTTTACGAATACAAGACACATCCTACTCGATTTCTTGAAGGCAGCGCCCAGGCGGATCTGGACCTATGGGGATCTCACGTGGATAGTGACTTTGGAGCCCTAATTGAGCCACTGCCGGGCCGGCTTCTCGGGCAGTGCTCTAATGGCTGAGATATTCCCCTCGGAACTGGACCCCGGGGTCGTATATCGCTTGGGTTCATGGCGCAACCCATGAGTCCTCACGCGAAACTGATGGTTGCGCCATGAATCCATGCGAAATACGATTTTGGGGTCTAGTTGGAGGCGTATATCTCAGCCGTGAGTTACCTGCGCTGCCGCTTATGCAGTGGCTTAGTCAGGGCCCCAAAATTACTCTACATGTAAATCCCATAGGTCCAGATCTCCCTGGACGCTGCATTTAACACATTCACCACAATGCCGATTTTTCTATTACTGCCGTTTCGGACCAGAGCCTTTTTCACTTTGTCAAACTTACGACCCACCCATGGGTCGTATTGTCCGGAATGGTTTGGAAAATTCAGAACATGTCTCCAAAGGTTTCCCCACAAAGGTTATAAGCGCTGATTATCAAAATATGATTTTTTTTAGTTTTTGCATTATACGGAAGAAGTTACGGTAGTTAATCTGTAGGAACACAACATCATGGATTTCCATGAAAAATTGTGCTCTGAGGTTATTCCATGTGTTGATCACAATTATAGTGTCCACTTTGTTCATTACTTTTCCATAGTAAGATTACGGTAGCAGTGAGGTAGAATCCTCCGTCCAGAAACTGATGTAAGAATGCGGTGTTAGAACTTGAGACTATATTTTACTAAAAAACGTGTTGCAAACTATGTATGTAAGGGGAGCCTTCAAAGGCATCATCTACACAAAAGTTTTATGTGTTGATGGTTGCGACATATATAAAACTCATTCGAGTGCATTGTGCTAGCTGTGTTCCTTAGTACTCCAGTTGCCAAAAAAAGCCAAAGAAGAGGTGTATTAGATTATTCATGACTACAATTTTTTTCGATAAATGACTATGTTTTCGTTTGATCGTTCTCGGTGTGACTCATTTGCGCAATGTACTTGTCTGCTTCTGCTTCATACCTGATCAAACCCAAAGTGCACAAAGCAACTGGATTTGGTACTATCAAAAATCGCGTTCAGAATTGGTGTGAGTAAACTCTCCATCAACACGGCAGCTGTTAGAGTCTATGTTGATTTGTACAGGGTGTCCCAAAAGTATGTATGCACCGTAATAAGTTAGCATCTCTCTTCACACGAAGTGCATATAAATCCTCCAAACATTATTTTGTAAAGCTGGCTTTGACTTGGATTTACAGCATGGAACGGATCGCCAATCGCTCCTCATTTGAATATGAAGTTTGCACTCTATCAGCTCCTTTTTCAAGGTTATTCCAAGCATTCCCCAAAAGCTGCCTTCTCAGGGTTCGATAAAAGCTCCATAACATCATTCAAGAAGGGTTTAAAAATCGTAAAGTCATGTTGTGTAATCAGTGTGCTCGAAATCATCTTTACACAGCTCTTCAGATTTTTGTGAAATTTTTTTTTCTGAAACTGCAGCCGATCACAATGGCGCTATGAGCTCGAAGTGCCTGTCGCAACCCTACAGTAAAGGGCACAGATTGGTGCTTTAAGCCATATTATGGATCTAAGTTGAATCCAGCTTCAGAGAATGATGCTTGAGGGACGGAGACATTAACATTACAGTGTATACATACTTTTGGGACACTCCACAGTTTGCTCACCCCCTCTCGACCTAGCTCGTTTCAAATATTTACGCTCAGCAAGTCCTAGCCGATATTTTACTCTCTAACGCGCTGGTAAAATATTTGACCATACTACTAGATCACTTGTAAAATACGTTTGCCAATAAAATGTGGTCTGTTAGTAAAATTTTGTATTCTTTGCGTACTTCAATAGGACTTTTATTCAATTTTCAATGATCCTTTACAATAAGTTGCGATACTGAGTTGAGGCTTTACCAATAGCAGCCTATTGTCCGAAAATTTTCCGATCTTATTGGAGTGAGTGACATCCATGCGTTTACGAAACAGGTCGATTTAATATTGCTTTTAACCAAACTGAATTTTTGCCACTTCTCGAATTCTGCAACTATTTGAAAGCTTTTACCTCTTATAGCTACTCTATCTACTGCCTGCGTCAGAAGCTCGAGAGTTCAATTTTGCAGCAGTATTTCAATCTTCGAGCAGTTTTGATTTGAGAAGTGTACCACATAATGCTGCAAA